AGAAATCATTCTTCACATGTGTTATGGTCAGTCACCATACTAAGATAGAAATATCGGGAGAATGTCTGCATAAGCCCAAGAGAGCTATGATCCAAATCAACTTAGAGGCTCAAAATCCTAGTCAAGGCCAAGTCCCACGACTAGACGAGCAGATAAGCCATATTTCGATCAACGGGTCATTATGACCGACTCGAAGTGCGGGATCAGTCGCCCCCTCACAATTAAGACGACTCCTCGAGCAGACAACTCGACTATACACCCGACCCGAAGCCCACTTGACTATCGGGTCGCTAAATCATAATGATGGATCACAGATCAACCCGCCTCGACTAAAGGGATAAGAGCCGACCAAGTTCACTTCAGATGTCAATCGACATAACAATACTGATTAGTCCCATCAAGATCTCTATTCTGACAACTCTCGTGCCCCAGCTTCTTATTCGGCTTACAAGTCATTTCCTAGAAGATTGTCATGATGTTTTCCTGTGCACGAATGACTTCTCCTCCAATCGTCATCCGCCACCTGGAGAGAGAAGGACGGCCACGCCACCGACCTATCCTACGCCCTGCCACTTCTAACAAACCCATGGTACTGAGAAAACAATTCTCTCCTGTATTCGAATGACTTTTCTTCTAATCGCCAGCCGACATCTGGAATGAGAAGGATGACTCAGTAATCTATCTGCCCACCCTGCAACCGCCCTCCTGTGTAAGAGAAAAAGCCAAAAATCTCAGAGGCTATTGTAAAACCCCGAAATTTTATAATGAAAGGATGTGATTAGTAGTAATAAATCTTTCTTTGGTGATAAATAACCATACATATATATGATGTATATATTTTACCAGGGTTTGGGAACCCAACAGGTGTTTATATATGAGAGATATCGAGTGATATAAGTCCAGCAGGTGAAATGCATGCAAAAGGCATTTTTGTGCTGAGCGGTCGACCGACGCGGTCGACCGTGGCGGTCGACCGGTACGGTCGACCGATCAGCGATCAGAGAGTTATCCAGGTTGTTTTCTTTTACGGTTTTTAGTTTTGGGCTATTGGGTTTCGGGTCGGGTTGGGGAATTGGTATTTATACCAACTCAACCCAGGAGAGTTCCTCTTCTCCTCAGACGTAAACCCTAGCCCCTTTTTCTCTCCCCTCTCAAAACCCTAGCCGTCACTGGTGATTTTGGGGAAAATCTGAAGGAGCTGCAGTGGGAGTTGCAGATCAGGTGGAAGGAGATCCTCAACAGGAATCTTTGCAGCACCCAAGGCGAGTATCATCTCGCCAAATCCCTCACCCCTGTTTTCCATGATCTTTATTTTGGATTTTATGAGTTTTGGATGAGCCAAAATAGTATTTTTGTTAAGAAACGAATTAGCTATGGTATAATAGTATGAATCAGAGGTTTTTGTTTATAAAAACTCACCCAATACCTGTTTGCTGACGATCTAGATCTGAAATTTCGCCTAAACAAGAACTAAATCATTTTTACTGTCATTTAAACGATTTGGAAATTGTTTCTCATGTTTTTATAATATTGGAAGGGGTCGACCGACTCGGTCGACCGACGCTCTGTCTGTGGTATTTTCCTGGTTTTGGGTATTTTTGTACATTTCATTCATGTTTGGGAGTCTGTCTGGACTATCTGACATTGGCATTTAGTCCTACTATGTACCCAGGTATGATGGATGACCTGAGGGTACCAATTGTGAATATATACACTGATATGATTATGAAGTGATGTGATTTAGATTTCACTATATATCACCGCGACATGTTTCACAGTTTCACAGTCCTCGTGTTGGACTATAATCCATGGAAGTCCTCGTGATGGACTATAAATTCATTCCAGTCCTCGTGTTGGACATTTGCCACTTAATCTATGAGTCTGGAAGAGTACGACATAAATAGTTCCTGATTTGGGCATAGCTCTTAACCCTGCATATGACTTCTTCATAGAAGTTCACGACATGATGTTGACATGACACTTATGTAAGTAATAACATGATATTCATGTTAGCTATGGTATGGCACTGTATACTGTTCTGAGATTTGCTGTATTTCTTTTATTATTGTTTCTGTACTAGAACCTCGGGTTTGGTGTTTAGAGATTTACAATTTGAGATACAAGGTATATACATGAGGGTTTCCTTGTTTGGATTATTTCGCTCGACGTACCTATGCTCGTGTTGTAAATTTCTAAATACTAAAACCCTCTTTAGTAGGATCAATGATTTTAGATCTATTATATACTATCTGTATTTTCTTATACAACGAGCCCTGTTCCCTTGGGGTTGGTTGTGATGTTACTCGCTAGCGCTTTGACGCTCGTTGTCCCTCCCCCTTTCAGGTCACGAGCCAGGAGCACGGAGAGCCGCAGGTTGATAGCGGACCACATTAGTGTTCAGCTTTACTTTCTAGCTATGTATTATTTTCTTTGGGCTCCACTGTAGTGTGGTTAGACATTTGAGGGTATTATTCTAGAAGTTGTAAAGGCTGTGTGCCTTATTTCCTTTTGTCAGATATTATATTTGAGACTTGTTGAGTATTCCAGATTTTCTACTCAGATCTTGACTATGTACTTCTGTGTTGTTGGATGATGAGATATTTATGTGACTATTATTATTTCATCAGTATTCCTTGTATTATCTTTTACCTGTTTTTGTACCTACACCAGTTGTTGACTCTACTAGATAGATGTTAATTGTGATGGTGAAACATGTTATTGCACGGTGTGGTGCATAGCAGGTTTGACATTCTTGGTTTCACCTCGGACTGCAGCCTTGTGTGAACCCAGGGGCGTCACAGCTATGTACTATATAAAGAAGGTAGGAAGGATAAGGGTGGGAGGGCTGCTCTCTACTTCCTCTTACACCTTAGCTTTACTCCCCTTTGGGATCTTCTTTTTACTTAAAGAGCTTTTAATAACTCTTAGGGAGGAACCCCCCTGCAATGACCTCAATGGCCCAGGGACCTCCCAAAAAACCATCCTCAAGTTCATCAACTGACTTGACCGTCGGAGGTACCATGGGGGAAACTAGCCCCGTATTCCTGTGATTCTTACATGTGCAGGCTATCAGTCCACCCCACACGCTCAGAATCGGGCATAAAGTCGGAGGAGGAGTCGGCCCCAATATTCATCCTCTCCTTCTTCCCCACCGTCGTCAGGATCAAAACTGCATCCGACTGCGGGAAACCCTCATCGACTATTTGTTCACGAGCATCAACAACATGTAAGAGAAAGAACCAGAATTTTTGGTGCCCAAGATTCAGTGTGTGGCTTTGTATGGCATTTGGTGTTTAGTTCAATCCAATGGCTGAGATTGATTAGAGTGTAGATGGGCAAATCAATGGTGGATTTTGGCGATCTAGCAATCGATTCCTAAGTTTTGGAGTGCTTTGAACACGATGGGAGGATTTGATTTTTTAGATTTTCCTCATATTGATCAGAAAGTGTTGATAAGTTCTGATGGTGGTAACGAGATAGATCTGATGGCAGATAGGGTAAACGAGTATGTGACGGATGAGACTGGTATAGAGAATTAGATGTGATCCTAGTAGTAGAGTTGTTAGCATATAATTATTCAGAGTCATCGTGAGAGCAGGAGTTGGTAGGCATTGAACTTGAAGACGATGAGCGTTTATATTCGGTCCAAGCCAAGAGATGGAGGAGATGAAGGCATCTGGCTCGTAGTGTGAAGTAGGAGAGGTGCACTGATATGATTCGAGATGAGCGATGCAGTGAAGTATGAGGACAACAAGTGGGGGAAGGCTACTGTCAAGTTCAGTTTGGGAGGAGAAACATGATTGATTTGCTTCTAATGTCAGAGGTGGCAAAGATCTCTTGGTGCGCACAAGAGAGCTAGAGGAGCCACAACGAGACAAATAAAAGTGAGGGTCATAGGGGCATCCAGTTGGAGTGCAGGTGCTTCGATTTGAAGTGCAAAAAAAAATAGAAGACTCTAGCAGGAGAGACAAAGTTTTAAGACGACGATGATAGATCTTCAAGAATGTTTGGGGATCAAATCCAAGGTAGAGATTGTTGGGATTGTGTTTTTGATTCTTTGTATAACTTCATGAGAATTAGATAGGGTTAGAGATCTATCATGATTAGGAGATTGGGTAATTAGATAGGGTTAGAGATCTATCATGATTAGGAGATTGGGTCTCATCATGATTAGGAGTTTGAATCCTATTCTAATTAGAGAGATCTATCATGATTAGGAGATTGGGTCTCATCATGATTAGGAGTTTGAATCCTATTCTAATTAGGAATAGGCTAGAGAATGATTTTTGGTTTTTTTATTTATTCTTCTATTGTTAGAAAAAAAACCAAGAAGAATGGAGATAGACAATATTCTTATAATTTAGGGTTAGTAGAGGATCTAATTCAAGAATATTGAGCAAGAGACGAGGGTTTCATGTTCTTTATCCGTGCAAAAGATTACAACATTGGGAGAGGGTTTCGCAGTCTTTATCCGTTCAAAAGATTATAAGGAGTGAGTTTTGAAGATAATACGAGAGTTGATTATGTATATGAGGTTGAGAGATTGAGAGACGAGAGTTGAGTGGTTCCTCTTGTAGCTCTCCCTGATACATATATAGTGGATTTCTAGTATTGTTGCCCGTCGACGTAAGTCGAAGTTGGTCGACTGAACCATGTAAATCTTGGTATTTTTATTTCTTAATTGTGGTTATTTTATATATTGTTGATTGTAGGTTGGCTTCCAAATTACGCAAATCATAGTAGACGGGGAGACTAAAATTCCCCAACAGACATGACTGAAACCAATATTTTCATTTCATATGATGTAGAAGAAACACTCATGAAAATTGCATATCCACCGTAACAAAACTTTTATTCTTAATTTATTTTCTCAAAAAACATAACTACATTATTCAATACATCATCAAAAACATAGGAGAGATCACAAACAAATTTCCCAAGAAAAATCTCTCAAATTGACGACGCATAATAAGTAACTCCAGGCTTCCACCTCTTAGGAATCACGTACGAGCCACAATCTGTCTTTTGGATCCGACCGAAGTTAGTCGAATTGAGAAGGGCGCTATGAGCGGTGAACCGACGTTCAACTGCCACGTGGCTCCCCACGATTGCTTCATCGGCTGCCATGTGTTCAAACCCGATTGCTGAATGTCGACACCAGCGAGGGCTCCATCACCTGAGTTATATTCGACAACCACAGCGAAGTAGTTTGGGGTCGAGCCGGAGTCCACTTTGAAGGCCACATGGAAACCTTTGTAGTTGCACGGAACCCTACAAGGGTGAAAAGAGGATTGGGGTATTAAAACTTTTAATTTTCTTTTTTACCCTCTTAAACTTGGATAAATTCTAACAATGCCATTATCTAATTAATCTTTTATCAAATAAATATAACCTATCATTACTCCTCACCTTCCTAAATAATTATAATTATCAATAATATTATAAATATTAATTATTTAAAAATAATAAACTAAAATAATTTATAAAATAAATATACAAAATTAATAGTAGTAACCAATTAAATTATTATAATTATTATTTATAAATTGTAATAAAATTATTAAAATGATAGTATAAATAGAATAATATATTATCAAATACTATTAAAAAATATATTATAATTCAATGAGAAATAAAATAAATAGAATAAATTTTGAATCAAGTAAATAGTGCAATTATTTTAATAATATCACATAAATTATGAATTTTACACTATTACTTAGTATTATATTATTAAATAAAATAAATAAATAAATAAATATTATTTTAAAGTGTTTTCTGAAAGATTATTACACGATACTAAATAATCTATATTTGGTAATGATTGAAAACTAACCCTTTTACAAAAAAAAAATAAATATTTATAAAATATTTACATTACATAATTAGTCAATAACATAATAAAAAATTAAAATTATAAAAATATTTTATTATATATAGAAAATATAATTATTTTAATAGTATTACTTGAACTAAAAATTATCATATTAAATAAGGTAAATTACAGAAAACCTATAAACTTTCAACATTTTATAGTAAATAGGTCCTATGAACTTTCGAAATTATACTAAACCCGTAATAACTTTTTTAGAAAGCCCCATTATCTTTTAGATAAATTATACCAAACCCAAAATAACTTTCAAAATGCCTTTTTATGCCATTTTGTGGTTTTAATTATTAGGGGTTATTTGCAAAATTAAAAAAAATTATTGGGGATCTTCTTTGAAATGGAAAAGTCATTAGAATTTAGTGTAATTTTAAAGTTCATATGGGCTAAAAGTTCATATATCCTATTAAATAATTATAATGAGAAGTAACTATTACAATATATTGTAGGTATCAAGTGTAACTACCTAGGGAACATCAGGAAAAGTTTAACAAGATTAATGCAGGTTAGTTAATATAGGAGTAAGTTAACAGTTCAAGTTGGAGGGGCATATTTAAGAAAGTTTATAGAAGTGACAGTTTTATTTAAGATTAATTTTAGATTTGGGGACTTATTTAAAAAAAGGTTAACATTGGTCAATCATTATAAGAAAAGTGTTTCATTACAACAACTATATAATAATAATTACTTCATAAATTTCTTTTTATGCAATCTTATTATAAAATTTTATTTATTAACACGTAGTTTTACTATTCAATAAAAATATCAAAACTTAAAACATTTATGTTCACGTGCAAAGCACGCGCATTATACTAGTAATAATAAATCAACAAATAAATTGATCAATATCCATCGCCCAAATTGAATCGCTAAATTTTATTTAATAAAGGCTAAATATTAGCAAAGCTCCATTAGTTTTGGATGATTATCAAATAACTCCCATAACCTTCAAAATATGAGAAAACCACCATTAAGTATAGGGATTATCGTATCTCTAAAGAGGTGTACGGATTATCAGAAACCCCTTTTAGCTTTAGGATATTATCAGAAAATGCCCTTTGCCTTTGAGATTTTATTGGGAAGTCCCCCTAAAACGACTTCCCGATACAATCTCAAAGTTCAATTAAAAGAGTTTTCTAATAACCTTTGAATTTACGATAGGTTTTTTGATATTTTAAAATCCATGAGAGGTTATCTAATAATGGTCCAAAGTCAAGGAAATTTCTAACATTTAGCTTGTAATAAACGATAAAGTATATCTCACCGGTTGTATTGAATCTCAATTGATCCTGCATTACGAAGTTGATCAGCTTGACCAGACTTAGCCAATGCCCCAAAAGCAGTCCCGCTCAGATCGAAATGGATGGGGTCGGATGCGCACGGGCCACCCGGGCAACTATCCGTTATCGTGACCGTAACGGGATTACCCGTACATGCTGCGCTCCCGTTACACCTAACCTGTTTAATTTATTACTCACACCATCAATGTTGATTATTAATTTAATCAGAGATGATCCAGTTGAATTAATTAATTAGGAGGAAGAGGACCTGATAACAAACACCACATCCTTTGCCTGAGTTGAATAGAGGAGGGTTTCCCGCAGCAATCATTTTGTTGTACGGGGGTTTTTCTACTGCATCACCGAAACCACATGCACCACCTCCGTAAAGAAATAAATTAATGGAGTCAGCATTTTTTTTTTTAAATTTTAATGACAAGGAACCTCCGTTCCATCTTAATTTCAGCCAAACGGGTACCTGACCGACAGACCGACCGATCATCCTATGGAATCCCATGGGAGATTCGTATCCTCTACAAATCACTATTGTGATAATGCATTCATATAGGAATTCAATATTATCATAAAAACCGATATTATATTTTAAATTATTATTATAAGAATCACTATTGTGATAGTGAAAATACAATGAGGAAGCAGAATTAGTGTATAAGTATTTAGGTAAACCTGTTTTACGAGCATTGTTTACTAAATAGTTGGTAAACCAAAAAAAGAACGGTTGATATTAAGTCACTATTAAATATTAAAAAAAAACATATGTAACTAATAAATAAATAGAATAAATATCGTTTCTCAATAAAAGATAATCAAGTTTAATATTTAACAGTGCTAAGACATATTTGTTCACTTTTCAAATGAATCTGTATCTTGACAAAAAAAGGGATTGTACGCAAAACAAAGGTAATAAAATTATACCATCGCTTCCTGCACCATCTGGAGATCCATACCACGTGGCAATAGCAGGAGCCCAGCTGCTCACAGAAGCCGAGAGATTGAAGAACATGGGATTGAAACATGAACAATGATTAATTAGAAATATAGAAGCCAACAAAGAAAATGAGCAGTTGAAAACAATGGAAGCCATTATCTCATGGAAAACTCTACAAATGATCAATCTCTGCTGTGACTTTTTATCGACAGAAGGAATTGAGAAATAAGAGCAAGATAATAATCCTTTGCATCCAAAGGTGGCAAGTTTTGCTCAATTTTGTGCGCTAGTGATGTGATTTAAATTTCATTTTATTTAAAACTTAAGGTTTAGTCAGATTTGGAGGGAGATGAATAAACAAACAGCATGAAATGAATCTTAAAAGGAAGACAAATGAATGGAATTGATACATTTGGACAGGAAATTTGTTTCCTATCATGATTCAAATGCAAATGCTAAGGTTTTTTTATGATATTTTTTTTGTAGAAGGTAATAATTTCGACCATTTATTTTCTCTTTTTATGTAGAAATGTTCCATACCATAAAAGGGCTTCATGTGCCTAAGCAAACTAAACATTACCAAGGCGAATAAGGTCCAAACCTATTAAAAGTTTAGGAAAAATGTTTAAAATTCACTAAAAATCTAGATTTGAGGAGTTATATTTTGGTTTCAGATATATGAATTATTAACAAAGGCATGTATTGATTGACATATAAAAACTTAGCATATGCACTTGTAGTATTTTCTATATTTTTAGAAATTGTCTTAAACCTTATACCTTATCTTATCTCATTTTGCTAAATTTGGTCGTGAAGATGAAGAGACAAGTCCACATGTTGATTTAGGAGGGGCGGCCTCCAATAAGGAAAGTAATAGCTTATGTAAGAAAAGAATATCACCATGTCGTCTAATTAGTAATATTCCTGTTATACACATGCTTTACAAGAGAGATTCAAAATCATTATTTGCATAATATTTGCACTGCAAATATGAGTCATTACATAATAAACTTCAAATTATATTATAGTGCATTCCTTGACTCTTATACATTTTTTTTTGAACTGAAAAAACAGGAAGATGATTCCTGTATATATATATATATATATATATATATATAAAAGTAAAAGAGCTTAACAGTTTAATTACAAAACTTACAAAAAAATGTAGATAAATGTAGATTACGAACCATGAGAAGAGGAATAAGTTTGGGAACGGACATTATCGTCACCAAACTAGACACTTCCCTCATAGAACCATCTACAATACACAAGGAACTACATAATTTAAGTTAAGAACCTGAAAACAAAAGGATTGTTTTTTAAAGTAACTACAAAATAACATCGCCAAATCAAAAGACTGGACAGGAAAACACTGCTGCCCAAAACCAGCACCTAATCAGAAGAGGAGAAGTTTTCCCCCACGTCGCCTACACCTTTCTTCTTCGCAATTTCCTCAAACTGCATTTTTACTGCTGCCCTTCTAATCCTTCTAGCCAACCTATCATCCTTAGTATCTATCCATAAAATAGTATATCTTGCCACGTTAGCTGCAACATGATCAGGGTTAGGCGTAATATCTCTAAATATAAGCTGATTACGACTATTCCAGATCAACCAACAACAACAAGGAAGCAGTACTTTTCACATAATTTAAATATCTATATTATTGAGGAAATTATCTCTAAAAAGTATCAAGTCTTTCATATTATGAGGCCAAGAAGTTGCACTAACGCTAGGGAAGAGAGTGGACCAAATAGATGAAGCAAAAGAACATCTGATGAACAAGTGATCCTGGTTCTCAATTTCCAGGTTGCAAAAAGGGCATCTAGGGTCACCATGCCAACTCCTATACATTAAGTCATCAACAAATGTGCAAATGAAGTGGATTCACATGCCCATTTACTCAAATTGTGATGTGCACACATTACGTTATGTCAAATGCTTCGAGCCGTTTTCATGTTTATCTCTAAGATTTCCATTTTTTTATAATTATTAGTCAGAAGAAGCAATTAATTTGTAACATGTCAAATTGTTTCATACAAACTTTTTCAAGCAATGCCAAATAAATTAGGACTTCAGCTTTGAAGTTATATAAGTCAATAAAGTTGCTTTTTTTTCCGGATAGAAAGGAATTCATCAACATTAATCTTCATTATTCAAATTGTCCAAAAATAGTTGTATATATAGGTGGTTTTTGAGATATGATTTCTGCCAAACACTCCTCATTATGATCGAACAAGGTGCACTAATTTAAGGGACTTATCCGACAAAATCTCAAAGTTAATAAGAGTTTCCTACTAACTCCTACATTTTTTTTTTGTGTTGGGTTCTCTTTTTTTTTTGTGTGTGTGTGTGTGGTGGGGGGGGGGGGGGGGGNATTCATGTTGGGGAATACGTGTCAAGATTCACTTCTCTCTCATGGTTTGGTTGATTAAAAAGCATAGACTAACTAAATATATACGAAAGAAAGACTATAAAGAGAAATGTCCGTGGATAGCTGCTGTATGCTGTGTGAAGTTGAGGAACAGAGTCATAACCATGCTTTTATTGAATGTCGTTTTGTTTCCTATCTAAGATAGAATTTTTTAAAACATCAATTTCATATGAGATGGAATTCTTTAAAACATCATTTTCATAGATCTCATGTTATGTTTGCTGACGTTCGTCATATTTGGTCTTGGTGTCATGAGTATATATCATCAAAAGATAAGTTGAGGTGGGATATATCTGCTGGAATTTTTTGCAAAAAACTCCAAAAATTAGCAAACACAACAAATAAAATTATACATAAAATTTAACGTGAAAAAATCTCAACATAGAAAAACCACGGGATAAAAAAAACAATCCACTATTATGTCCAAATTAATTACAATCTTTTTGTACGGACAAACACTGAAAAACCCTCTCTCTCACAATATCATTAAACTCCGTTACACCCTCTGTTAAACCTTGATTACAAGAATATTGTCTATCTCCCTCTCTCTACTAAAAAAACCCTAGAATATAACGTCTTATTTAAAGACACTCCTGACTTATCCACCAAGTCAACTTGACCTTCAAGAAAACTACTAGGACTGGGCTTCAAATCCGGATCCAACTTGGAGTTTGATTCGGCACCTAACAATATCTATGTGTAGTTTGTTGTGGAATGTTTGGTATGTAAGAAACTTACGCATTTTCCAGCAAAAGAAGAAACATGCTCTAGACTTATCACTACAAATTAATAACTTTACTGCTTTGTGGTTAGGGAACCTTCCTTCCAGGTATAAAATGACAATGAGCTATGTGAGGAAGAGGAAAATAAATACTGCTAGAAACATCAGAGCAGGTGCAAATACAGCGGATGCTGCAGTGGCTACAGAGCAAAATGGATGCTGAAAGGTTCCTGCATATGAAGCTATCGATGAAGCTGGTGTTAGTTTTTAACTTGTGCGTTTTCGGGAGATGTATGTTAATATGGGTATTTAATATGAGTCTATAAAATAAGTTAGCATGTTTGTGTTAGATTTGGTATTGAAGAGAACTTTATGTGTTATGATCAGATTTACAAAGTATATATATATAAATAATAGCCCACACTATACACAACGGTAGCCCACTGTAGCCCATACTAGGAGGCGGCTGAGGCACTACACACTAGGGCGACTCTAGGTGGCTGAGGCGACTGGTGGCTGAGGCGGCTACACACTAGGGCGGCTAGAGCTCATGATATTATCTAACACCCCCTTTCAAACTCACGGTGAATCACACACCGAGAGTTTGAACAAGAAATAGTGAAACGCAGAAATGGTTTGAGCCTTGGTAAACAAATCTGCTACTTATTCCTTAGAGGGAATATATGAGAGTGTAATGTTTCTAGCAACATGCTCCTGTCGAACCACATGACAATCCACCTCAATATGTTTGGTACGTTCATGAAATACGCGATTTGTAGAAATGGAGATGACACTTTGATTATCACAGTATAAAATGATAGGGGAAGTAACAAATACATCAAGATCTCGCAGAAGAGTGCGGAGCCATTTCAGGTCAACGGTGCTGTCTGCCAACGCCCTATACTCGGACTCTGTACTAGAACGAGAGACAACAGCTTGACACTTACTACACTAAGAGATGAGAGATGAACCTAGAAAAATACAAAAGCCAATAGTGGAACGTTGAGTGTCTGCATCATCAGCCCATCCAGCATCAAAATATGCACGAAGAGACAAAGAAAAGTCTGAGGGAAAAAATAATGATTAGGTTATAGCGCCACGGAGATATCGAAGAACCCAAACGAGAGCGACATAGTGAATGGAAGTCAGACTACTGACAAACTGGCTCAAGTTGTGTACTACATAGGCGATATCCAGACGTGTTGTTGAAAGATAAAGCAATGCTCCGACAAGTTCCTGATATCGAGTAGGCTGATGTAAGGGATCGCCATCATCATATCGAAGCTTCAAGTTCATTTTCATCGGTGTGGAGAGAGGAGTGATAACAATAGAAGGATCACTGAGAGAAGCACGCTCAAGAATGTCTGCAATGTACTTCTGCTGAGAGAGAATATAGCCATGAGAGGAGGAAGCAACCTCAATACCCAAGAAGTAACGAAGAAAGACAATATCCTTCATCTCAAATTGACTCTGAAAATGTTGCTTTAAGGAAGTAATGGCAGAGGAATCATTCCCAGTGATTATCATGTCATCAACATAAAGTAATAGAATAACTGTACCAGAGGCTGAGGGCCGATAAAAGAGAGCATAGTCAACTAGGCTTTCACTGAATCCAATAGAAAGAAGAGATTACCGGAAATGCTCAAACCAAGCTCAAGGAGCCTGTTTGAGACCATATATAGCATGACGAAGGCGTCAGGATTGTCCTGGAAGACCAGGAAAGCCAAGAGACGACTACATGTACACTGTCTCAAACAGATCGCCATTAAAAAAAATATTTTTAACATCCATTTGATACAATGGCTAATGTTTTGCAGCTACAACAGTAATGAGAGTGCGAATAGATGTCATTTTTGTAACAAGAGCAAAAGCCTCTTCATAATCAATACCATACTCTTGTGAAAATCCCCGAGCTACAAGACTAGCTTTGTACCGCTCAATAGAACCATCAGTTAAGTATCCATTTGCAGCTTACCGGTTTAACACCGAAAGGCAGACGAACAAGGTCCCAAGTATTAGTCCGACGAAAAGCCTCCAACTCTTTTGTCATTGCTTGTTGCCATTCTGGATACTTAACTACCTTAGAGTGAAGGAGGGAGTCGGTTGAGCAGATGAAAGCTCAGTTACCATTGATACAGGTATAATAGTGGAAGGTAACGAAGGGGGTTGAAGAAAGAAGAGATCTAAATCTGAAGAAGTATAATAGGAAATATTCTCAAAGAAGGTCACATGAAGGGCAATACGAAGCCTTCGAGTGGTAGGTTCATAACAACGATACCCATTGTGAACGGTGCTATAGCCAAGAAAGATACATCATAAAGTGCGTGGAGATAGTTTATCTCGTTCATGAGTTGGAAGCAGGAAAAAACAGACGCATCCAAAAGTGTGAAGAAGAGAGTAGCGAAACTGAGAGTTGAAAAGTTGAAAATATAGAGAGGTGTCTATAGGCGTCTAAAAATACCTATAGGTATCCGCACATAGCTCGAGATGGAGTGAAGATGACGAACATCGTTATCCGAATCTAAGAGGATTATCTGACGCCGACAAGTGCATGAACCGGAATGACGAACCAACTATGTCTCGTGCGCTCACCGGCCACCTTCAGTAAACTCGCACGCGTCGGTCAACGCGCTCACTTCAGTCAACGCGCGCACTTCAGTCAACACGCACTGAGTGTACAAGTCAACACGATGGATAAGTAAACGAAGCAACAGAAAGTAAAAGTCCCGAAAAGTCGCAAAGTGCCAAAAAGAAGAAGTTCAGCTGAGGCGGTAAACCTACGACCAACACGGGATGGCGCCGTCCAACCCGTGCCCCCTTGTGGGCTGTTTTCTCAGGATTTATCTGTTCCAGGGGTTCCCAACTGACTTGATATCATCCACAAATATGGTTAGCCTGTTATTGACTGAAGATAAGGCCAAATCTCTCATTCTCATCCAAATACCCGTATCCGAAGCCTATAAATACTGGCCTAGGGGCTCATTTCATGGGGGAGAAATCAAGAGGGCAAAACACTGCCGAATTGGAGAGTGGAGCCACGAATTTACAGCGAGGGTTAACAGATCTTAGCGAGTTCCTGTGCATAAAGAGTGGAGTTCGAGAGAACTGAGACCCGTACTCTATTCCTCCGGATTTAAGCTTAGTCTTAATCTCGAGAAGAGCCGTAATCTCGCTTGGTTGAGATTATCGCTGTAGCAAATACTTCCTTCTTGAAGTAGGAGCTTTGATTCTATAATCTGTCAACCAGATCCGATCCGCGGTCGTCCACGGATAAACCCTGGCACCGGCAAAGAACCCACACAAGCAAGAGTCGATAAATAATTCTTGTGTTTATTTTCAAGAGAGTTGTAACTTTTATTTTTGTTATTTGAATTCGTTGTAAATGATTAAAGTTATAATGAAATCGATAATGAATGTGACTTTCGACAAAAACAAACTGGCGACCACAGTGGGAGCCGATAGCCTTTCTGTGAAGGCTAATGTATCGCAACCTCGGATCCTTATCCCGGTTGAAGAAGAGGTCGAGTACGAGTTCGACCAACAAAAGTACGAGGAGTACTTGTCCTCCTCCTCCAGATCCTCCGCCTCTAATAAGCGCAGAAAGATCAACGCTCTCGTTACTGCGATGGCTGTACCTTGCACAGCCTCTCCGATCTCCAACGAGACCGGATCTACAGATCTAAACTCCTTTTCAATCAGGGAGTTGAGTACTGAAGGCGCGCCAATCCTATCGAAGATGGCGCGTCAAAGGCAACGTCAACGTCTCGCTCGCCAACTCGCTAAGGTTTTGGAGCCAGTGGACGGGATCTGTTACAGGGCAGATCTGAAATTCAGGGAACACTAAGCGTCCCAACAGCGAGCAAACGTCCCCTCCTCCAAATCATCAGAAAGTGAATGGATCCAAGTCAAAAGGACCCTTTCAACTCTTGAGGAGCAGATTCAGAAATGCCGCGCATTGCTTGCACATGCAAGAATTCTTATGCAAAAAGCCAAAAAATTATAGAAGGAAGAAGTGGAAAAGAAGCAACCAAGGCTGTATCAAACTTGAAGGCCAAAGTCCGAAACAGCGGCCGAGAAGATCAAAAACCGCGGGTCACTTCAATCTGACCCTCCCAGCCACGGGTCACTCAGATCTGACCCTCTAGCTTGCGGGACACTAAGATCCAACCCTCCAGCCCATGGGACACTCAGATCCGACCCTCCAGCCCGCGGGACACCCAGATCCGACCCTCCAGCCCGCGGGTCACTCAAGTCTGACCCGCGCCACGGTCAAGATAGAAGATGTTCTACACCAGTTTATTCGATTCTATTGAGTTACGCACCTCCGGCAAAGATCCGCAACAGTGTGGATTTATCCCGGTTTAAGATAAAGATCATGGATCACCTTAGCCCTTCACACGATGATCGATGCAAAGCTCCAGTCAAAGAGCGCTTAGGCCCATTGAACGGATCTCGAACCATTTTTCAGGCTGGAGGTCGTAGTCGTCCTCCTAAGCAATGAAGGAGAACGCATGATGTGAAAAGTCTTATAACTGACCACCTCGGACTGTAAGTCAGTATCCAAGAGCCAGTTAATGTCTCATGCTCATGAAAGCATGGCTCCAAACGTGTGACTCTTGAGAACACCATCAAGGCAGCAAGTCCTCAGAAGGAAACGTATTCGTCAGACGATGACGTTATACCTGAGGAGTCGTGCCAACACACGATAGGTTGCTCCGGTCTTCGGACCAATGAGTTATACTATCGGGCTGGGGGTACGAACAAATCTCAAAAGAGAGGTACTCGAGAAACGGACTCTCACTGTCCGTGCACCAACATTATCAGGACAGTATTATCAGCATGTAGCTGCCCTAAGAGCGCTCCACAGAGGGTCTCAGTATTCGAGAGGATCTCTAATGGAACGACTAAGTCCAAGCCAAAGTGTTTCAATAAGAAACGATCGGTAGTTTAAGGTGACGAATTTCTGAAAGTTACGGTAAATATGGTTGATAAGGGAAAGTCGGCTCGACCTTCTAGCTCCGACCCCCTTGTATCGCATCGTCTAACTCGGCTACGCACAGGGACCACTAGACGCAGGGATTATCAAAGAATGCAGAGGGGATTATCCTCAGATGATGAAGCATCAGATGCTAACTCTATAGTTACTTCTGACAAAACAGTATCCAGCCCAGGATAATCTCACGAGGCATTCATGATCAACACCGAGCAAAATTTCAAAATTCTCGAGGATGCTCTAACCAAGCAGAAAGAGGCATTCAATATTGAAATAGAAATGGCTATGCAGTGGATGTAGGGGTGTCCAAAAAGCCGCGCCGGCCCGGCCGGCTGGAGCCCGGGCCAAGTCCGGGCTTTGGGCCAGGCCCGGGCCGGCTTTTTTGGTGCCCGGCCCCGCACGGAATAGTGAATTTTTATTTTTTTTATTTTTTTATTTTTTTATATGTATTATATATGTATAATATATGTATAGTATATAATATTTTTATATATGTATAATATATGTATATATAATATATTTCTATATATGTATAATATGTCATGATGGTGTGTATAATATATTACTGCTCTCTTAGTATATATGTATATATAAGTATACTCTCTCTTATATTGTGTATGAATGTATGTATGTATATACTCTCTCTTAGTATATATGTATATATAAGTATACTCTCTCTTATATATGTATACTCTCTCTTAAATAAGTATATATAAGTATACACTCTCTTATATATGTATAATATATGTGTGTGTATATATATATACTAATATACTCTCTCTCTTAGTATATATAAGTATACTCTCTCTTATATATATATATAATATATGTGTGTGTGTGTGTGTGTGTGTGTGTGTGTGTATGTATACTCTCTCTCTCTCTTAGTATATAAGTATATATAAGTATAGTATATTACAACGGCTACTTCTTCCCCATTGGCCTAACGGGCAACGGCTACTTATGCGATTCTTTCTCTCTCAAGTTATAACTTATAAATATATACAATATATTTACATATAATATATGTATATATAATATATAGTTACATAATAATTTGTAAGTATATACTAATACATAATTATATAAAATATAATAATATTAAACTAATTTTTGTGTGTACTCTCTCTCTCTTAGTATATAAGTATATATAAGTATAGTATATTACAACGGCTACTTCTTCCCCATTGGCCTAACGGGCAACGGCTACTTATGCGATTCTTTCTCTCTCAAGTTATAACTTATAAATATATACAATATATTTACATATAATATATGTATATATAATATATAGTTACATAATAATTTGTAAGTATATACTAATACATAATTATATAAAATATAATAATATTAAACTAATTTTTAGCATTTTTTTATCAAAAAAAAAGAAAAGAAATTTAAAAAAACCTAGGTGGGATGTACTTATCTATTGTGATGCGATGAATTCCAAAATAAATTTATACTTGTAATTTGTAAATGATTTATTAATTATTAATAAAGAATTTATTTTTATAATTTTTATTTTGTAATTTATGTCATTTTAAGTGATTAATAAAATTATTATTTTCTATTTTTTTGTCTTTTTTTATAATTTAAAATTTAAATAAAATTTAAAAATTTAAAAAGAAAATAAACCGGGCCGGCCGGGAACCCGACTCGGTCGGGCCCGGGCCCGGGCCCGGGTCCGGCCCGGGGTACCCGGGTCCGGGTCTGGGCTCCGGTTTTGCCTGACCCAGACCCGAATTTTCGGGCCGGGTCGGCCCGGATGGATAGGCCTATCCTTTGTTATTCTGAAAATATGGAATTAATAAAGAGACAAGAAGTGACAGTATGACAATAATAAGAGATCATTTGAAATTGGAATCTAGTCAGGGAATTGTTAGTATGCAAAGTGTTAAACTGAGATCTGTTCTCAGTTAATCATTTATATTTAGTTCGAGTTGGACTTGACCGGATCCGACACGGGAGTGAAATTTGTGTTTTGAAATGCGTTCCGTTCATTCAATTCAGATGTGATGATTTTGATTGTTGAGCGCTGCGGAAGCCAAACAACCAAACCAACATGCTACGAGAAATCAAATCAAACAACGTCGAGAGAAGGCCAAACGAACCAAATCAATGCCACAAACACAAACAACCA